CCCCCGCCCCGCCCACTCTCCGGTCTCCAGTGGCGCCTGCACACGATGCTTGTGGTCACTCGCGGGGCGGCCGCCCCAGCATGCGCAGGGCCCTCCCCAGGCCGCCCATGTCCTCGGGGTCAACATCTCTGGGGCGCTTGTGGCCGGTGGGAGGTGCCATCTCCCTCCAGGCTGGTGCCTGGTGCCTGGCAGCAGTGGGTCACCCAGCTCTTTCTGCAGAGCACGCGATGGGCCACAGCCGGGCGCGGCAGCGCGCCCTGAGGGAGAGCCAGGCCCGCGGGCGCGCGCTCTGCGAGGAGGTGCGGCAGCTGCGGGAGGACAAGTCCAGGCAGGTGGGCCATGCGTCCGCTCCGGCCGGCCCTCCGGGCGCCTCGGGTGGCCGGGACCCTGCGTGACGGGCGGCTCCGCCCCCAGTTCCTGGACTTAATGGGGACCATCGACAAGCAGCGAGAGGAGATGGCGCGGAGCAGCCGGTGAGCGCAGCCCCTGGCCTGACCCCGGGCAGCAGCGGGAGTGGGCGGGAGGTGGCCGCAGGGTCCGAGGCGCGGGACCCTCCCATGTGCCCGCAGGGCGTCTGCGGCGCGGGTGGCGCAGCTGCAGGAGGCGCTGACCGAGAGGCACTCCGTCATCAACGCCCTGAGAGCCAAGTACATGGGCGGCCGGGCAGCTTCCCCGGGGGGTGCAGTGGCCAGCGCGGACCGGTCACCCTGCGGGGCGTGAGTGTGGGCGGGCAGCAGGCTGGGGCCGGGTGTGGAGGGGCAGCCGCCAGCCGCCCCTGCCTGCAGGCTGCAGATGGCCGAGGCCGCGCTGGCCCTGTCTGAGCAGAAGGCCCAGGACCTGGCGGGGCGCCTGGCCTCCGCCGAGCAGCAGCAGTGGAGCCTGGCGCAGCGGCGGGAGAAGGCGCGCAAGCAGGAGCAGCAGGTGGCAAGGGCCGGGCGCGGGCGGGGCCTGCGGGGGGCCAGTGACGGACGCCCTCACCTTTGACCCCAGGAGGCTGCGGAGCGGGAGTCCAAGCTCCTGAGAGACTCGTCAGCTGCCAGCGAGAGGAACCTGCAGCTGCGGAGTCAGGTGCGGGCGGCGGGCGGCGGGCGGCGGGCGGCGGGGCCACAGCCGCTGCAGTGTCCATCCGCGACTGCCCACAGGTGGAGGAGCTTGAGCGGAAGGGGAAGGCCCAGCAGGAGCAGCTGTTCCTGGCCAAGCAGGAGCTGACCCACACGGCAGCAGAGCTGAAGATGCGCGCTGCCCAGGCGGAGGGTGGGCACGCGGGCGGGCGGCGGGCG